TTAACAGTGAGTGCGTATACATGCACATCAGTATCCCGGTTATTAGCCATATCCCGGTTATGTCAGTATTCCGGTTACTGCGTTTACATGCGCACTGAGAAACCGAGACACTCATATTCGCGTGTACATGATCAAATGGAGTATCCCGGTTTCTTGACATAATCTTACAAATGCACAAGCTCAAAAATTAATTTAAATCAATTTAATAAACCAGGAAAAATACAAACCGTGAGCTCCTTTAGCATAAGAAGCTAAGGAGCTACGAGATCTCCCACAATCCACTGCACACATCAAACCAACAGATTCTTCATTAAAATCTTCTGCATAAATAAACTAAACTTTACAACATATAAACCAGAACCACTGTAGACACATCAGCTCGTTTGATCAGATCATTCAGCTCTGATCACATTTGTTTACGTGTTACAGAAACAAAACTTACGCTAATTAGCATAAACTGTTAGCGGTGATAAAAACAGCTGCTCCTTGTGTCGCTGATGCGATCAGCTTCTTTTGGACTAAATGACACGACTCTGTGGATTATGTGTGTTCTTTCTGTGACAGAAGAGGTGCTGATGATGGTGAGTCTGTTCTGTGTGTTTACAGTACAGGAGATAGTTCATGTTTTAGTTTTGCAGCGATCACACGAGTGCAGGTCGCACGAGTGCAGGTCGTACGAGTGCAGACTGTACATGTGCAGGTGTACAGTGCAGTTGTGCAGGTCAGCGTACATGTGCAGGTCGTACATTTACAGTCATTCACGTCAGTGCAGACTGTCAGTCATTTACAGTCATTTCACTCGTGTGGTCACTTTATTTATGTTGGTCACTTTATTTATGTCGCTACTGTTGTGGTGAAAAGACTGGAAAGTGTTTGTAACCGGGATACTGCATTTACATGCCACAGTATCCCGGGTACTATCGGAAAATACCAGCTACAGTATCCCGGTTTCTAATAACCGGGATACTGAAACCAGGATACTGCGTATACATGCACCATGAAGAAACCGGGATACTCAAAAAACCTGATCATAACCGGGTTATTGATGTGCATGTAAACACACTCACTGTAAAGGTGTAAATTGTACATATGCATCCACTATTTTCAGTGTTAAAGACTGAGTGTTAGACTGATCTATTTTTTTAAATCAAATTTTAAATCATTTTTGAAATACACTGTATTTTAGTTTTCTACACATGTATTTCATTTTAATGTATGTAGGAGGGATGTTCCAGTCACTTTTTTTTGCCCCCAAGTCCGAGTCCTTTGATTTTGAGCATCTGCAGATACATTATACTTTATAAAATGAACTAAGAGTAAAGAATAAGATCCAGGATGTGGGGGGAACAGATTGTGTTGATTTCATGTGTAGTATTTGGGTTGAACTTGTGAAAAATCAAATGTCCAAAGTTTTAATTTATTAACTTTCCTAACCATGAACCATCATTGTTGAAAATCTTTACTTTTCACAGTCTGGTCTTGGAATGTGTAATTTAGTAAACTTAATGAACTGGACAAAACAGGAACCAGACCAGAATCAGATCAGACCTGAGACTCGACTCTGCACAATCTACACTTTGTATTTATGCTTGTCTATGAAATCCAAATAATGCACAATCTTACCAAAGAAAAGTGAAATGACAGAAGCCCCACAGCCTCCCGCAGTCACGGAAGTCACGTAAACGGGAAACGGCCATTATCCGTTTTTTTCCATTCGTCATTTAAACACAAAATCAAAAACTTTTTGGTTTTGGAGACAAATAATGAAGAAAATGTATGGTTTTTGTTTTAAAATTTTTAGTTTTATATTGAAAAACGGATGAACAAATGATACACGGTTTATCACCTGTTTGTTTCTATGGATATGCCAATGCTCTGCCTTGAATGTTCCACAGTATGACTTTAAACAGCTCTACTTTACTCAATTGCAGATGGTTTTATAGCTCAAAATACCTAGAAAAACAGGCATTCTGGCTGTGAGCGGGGTCAGCTCTCCACAGATCTGACCTGTAACTGTCTGGTTTGGTCTCCATGAAGATAGAAAGGTTTAATGCCATACTGTGAAACATTCCAAAGCAATCACATCTCCACGGAGAACAAGATTTGACAGACTCCCACAAAAGCTACACAATGCACCTTGAAATAGATTTTTCCAACATCAGCCACACAAACTTCGAAACTTTTATTTATTTTTTTCTGTTATACAAAATTGCCTTTTCAGATCTTGTAGCCATGTTATTGTTGTTTCCCCTTTTCATTTACCCTCTCACTGCTCTGTAGTTTTTATTTTCTTAATCGGTGATACACGTAAGAATCTCTTTGTGTTTACGGCAACGTCAGCTCCCATTGGGCACCTGCGTTTTCTAACCTGGCAGTCAGTGAACTTGGTTCTTTTATTAAGTGATTTTAGATGAATATTGTGATTTAAAATGTCCAAATTGTAACATAATGATCCACGGTTGTGATAGAATATAACTATATAGAGCAGACACAAACACAATATGTCTTTTTTAACATTGTAAAATTGAACATTGAAGAATTTTATTTCTACAAAACTCCAATAAGAGTTGGAAACATAACACAAATGTAGTTAAGTAGACAAATAAGGGTCCGGTCAAGCGGTAACGGAGGGAAACGGGCAGATTTTTGACTTTCAAATGTCTCTTATTCAGAAACTAGAGGGACTATTGAAATAAGTAAAGTATCAGAATGTAGGAAAGAGTTACACTCCAACAGGGTCAAGTTAAACCTGTGATATTCTTTCAAGTTGTTGACAAAAATTTTTTAAAACTCATGTTGGTAACGGAGGGAATGAAATATGCAGCACGTTTTTGGGCAATAAATACAAACAGTGATAACTCTTGGTTCTCACTTACATATCCTTAACAAACTGGTTTGAATATTTGCTTCATATAGTTTTCTACCATATGGTACAAGATTAGGTTGAAAAACCTCTTACTTTTTGAGTCATTTTTTTTTTATTAAGAAAGGTCATGGTAACGGAGGGAAAAGTAACGGAGGGAAAATTGTGCAAACAAGTAGAAGGTGCAGGATTTTACATAATTTGTCAACTTTTTTCTTCCGAATACTTTAATATTACTTCAAAATGAAAGGAAACTGTTTCTATAAAATATGTCAGTCCTTCCAAGCTAATTTTTATCATTTTAAATACATTTTTTTTGAAAAAATCATGTACCTTCATCAACAGTTCAAAGATGGAATAACACAAGATATGATGAAATACATCCATTTATTTACATGATTTGCAGGTCTTTGAAAATTGGGAAATAATTTTTGTTCCATGTTTCATACATGGTCTGTTTAAAACATATGTAACTTTAGAACCAAAAATGGTACAGAAAAAAGGTCAACAGTTTCATAAACTAGAGTACATATGTATCTGTTCAATACATTTTTATATCAGATGCATTAACTTGAATTTTTGGCCTTGTTGTTTACTTCTGCTTGACCGAGACCATAAATTAAAGTAGCTATAACAAGTACAGAAATTATAACATTATTATATTTGTATGTAGTAACACTTAAAATGCTGTATACCACCGTTTGTCACTGAATATGTGCGGTGTTCTCTTTTCCCCGGACAAAGCCGAAGAACACAGACGAGTGCATTGGTCTGTGCTACAAAAACTACAAAAACAGCGAGCCTGCGGATGTTAACTTAGCGCTGTGGAGTCTTCCTGTGCTAATCCTGGCTGACCTGAGCTCTCCGCGCCACTGTTCAAACTTATTCAGGCTCCCAGCACCGAAAGACCGTGGGAATGAGACCAGAGACCACATATACGTCCACAGAGTCCACACGGTGAAGCTGATAAGACACAGTAATCAGCGGTGGAACGTCACAGTAAGTTAAAGTATTGAAAGTGCAGTACTTACATTTCCTGTATTACTCAAAATTGACTCACGTGCGCTTTAAAGGTTCAAAAATACAATAACTCCTTCTGTGAACAGGGACAACTCTCCACAGATCTGAACTGTAATTTGGCGTAGCGCTGTAACCTGCTCCTGTCTCCCTCGTGATGGACAGGTCTGATCAGTTTGGTTGTGTTTTGTTTCATTCACATGTTTGAGTAATCCTGTGTTATTAACAGCTATATTTGACCTTTTGTTTAGTAGAAATGGGCAATTCCAGGGCTAAAATCATCCGAATTATTCTAGTGAAGTGAAGAACAATGTGGAACAGAGTGTTTTTTGTTTGGGAGAAGAACTCAGCCTAAATATGCATGATTTGTGTGATAAATATTGTTTGTGTGAATGAAACAAAAAACACGACTCCAGGTCAGTTTGTGATGAGGAAACAACATTATAACACTGATCAGAAAATAGTGTAATATAGCCCTTTAAACATGTAGGTACCTGTACCTAAGTAGATTTTTAAACTGGATATTTTTTTGTTTTATTTCATTACATCTACTCCACTACATTTTTGAACTGGACTGAAAAGTAAAAGTATTTGTATTATTGTCTGAGACCTGCTGAAAAGACACGTTTGTAGTTTGAGCAAACAAAAATAAACAACTAAAAACTAGCAAAAAAAATATTCATTTGTTGCTGTTGGACAAAATTCAACACAAATCTGTATCAAAATCACTACATTTGAAGCTTTTTAGATCGCAAGCTGCACAAAATTCTTTTACTTTTAACTCTTTAAATACAAGTAGTTTTACTTTAGTATTTCTGTTGCTTTGGTATCTGTACTTTTACTTAAGTAACAAAATTGAGTACTTTTCCACCACTGACAAGCAGAGGTGGCGAACTAGCCAAAAACTGTACTAAAAGTAACGTTACTTGAAACTAATATTACCCAAGTAGAGGTACAAACTGATCCAAGAAAAATAAATCAAGACTGGGGAAAAAAGGAGAAACAAGTTAAAGAGTAACTGTCAGGACAATTTATAATCTGAAGGACTAAACTTTAAATAAAGCACAAATCTGGTATTTTCACCATGGTAACGGCCATAGAGGTACATTTAGAACACCCCCAGTGTAAGGCAAGGCAAGTTTATTTGTACAGCACAATTCGTACACAAAGTAATTTAAAGTGCTTTACAGAATAATTAATACATTAAAATCATAATAAAAACAAATCAAAACATAAATAATCATGAAGATTAAAATTAAAAAAGAGAGACATAAATTGGAGAGAAGAGTGCGGAATGAAAACCTTTCAGTTATTTGCACAGTTAAACAGAAATGTTTTGAGTCTGGATTTAAAGTGTCACAGAAGAGTCTGTCTCACATGTTCAGACTGTTCAGGTTTTAGTGCGACGTCACTGTATCAATAGGTGATGATGAATCATTTTGTGAAGGATAAAGTTAATATCTCTGTAAATATTGAGTTAAAACAATGAAACAAAACTGACATTTCTGTTCACAAGATTCACAAATCACTAATTAATTGTTATTGTTAAAAGAAACAATAGATTGTATTAAAATGTAAACAAATTAAATTGTCCATTCCATAAACATTCAAAGTGTGATACAATTAGTAATCCATTTTTCATTTTAACTTATCACCTGTATGACATAGGCCTATTTTATTTAAGTTTACACATATAGATATATGTCTGTAGCAACTGATCCTTGTCTTTGTTTTCAGTAAGAATGTAGTGCAGTTTATTCCAAGTTGAGGACAAATGAATGATCTAATATTGTAGATGTTCTTATTTGTCTGTGTGAGTATCATTCTTTACTCTTTTTGACAGGTGTAATTCTCAGAGGAGCTGATTTATCAATATTTTTACTATTAAACTCTGGTGAAAAAAATGGTAGGATGTTCCCAGAGAAAGAGCAGTGAGTGAAAGAGTAGAGCAGGTCTGCACTGTCCACATCATAAAAAGAGACCAGACCCTGGTCATGATCCACAAAGACCCCCACAGTCTCAGGATTGGTCCTCAGGGACAGAGGGATGGGAGGACCAGCACAAGCTTTATACTGATCATCCACCAGTCTAATTGTCCAGTATCCACTCTGTGGATTAAGAGTAACTGTTCCCTTTCTCTCCACTGATTCTCTGGCCACTCCTAAAAACCAGATCTTTCCTTTGACCTGAACCTGGAAGTAGGACCTCCCTGAAGAGAACTTCTGTTTCCCTAAAACACAGGCTGTTGTAGAAAATCTCTGTGGTACATCTGGATAATTCATCATCACTTTCTTGTATTTAACCTGTTTATTATCATGAGACAAGACCAGATTTGGATGAACTGTGTCAGGATCCAGAGTCACGTCCACTTCATACTGCTGCACTCTCCTCAACTCGGCCTCAGAAACCTTCTTTATCTGTGGAACAAGAGTCTTCTCCAGCTCAGACACAGCTTGAGCTACGAGACCATCGTACGACTGAGGAGAAACCTTCACTTGTGTCCAGTCCTCCAGCTCTGGAGCAGGTTTCACTGAGGAGAAGGTCTGGATAAAACTGAAGTGGTCCTCAGAAACCAGCTTCATGTCAGCTCTTCTCTGCTGCAGGACACAGATCTCCTGCTCTAACTTCTCTATCAGCTCTGAGGCCCTGTCCTCCACCTTCTTCTGATCTCCTGTGATTCTCTCTTTGAACTGGTCCAGACTCTTCTGAACACACTCCATCAAATCTGTGAAGACTTTAACCCCCTCAGCCATCTCCAGATCAGCGTTCTTGTTGTTAACCTTCACAGAGTCCTGGATGTCCTGGATCTTCTGTCGCCTTTGTTTCACCAGTGTCTCCAGCTCTGCCTGCTGTCTCTCACACTCCTCTTTGAGGGGCACTGCAGGGTGGTCTTTGTGCTGAGAGAAGGTGCACTGCAGACAGATGAACTTCTTCTCTGTTTTACAGAACAGCTCCAGAAGTTTGTCGTGCTCTTGGCAGATGCGCTCCTCCAGGTTCTCCACGGGGCAGATGAGGTGGTGTCGTTGGAGGCGGGCGGTGCTCCGGTGAGGCTCCAGGTGAGTGGGGCAGTAGGAGGCCAGACAGACCAGGCAGGACTTGACCGCCCTGAGTCTGGGTTCAGAGCACATGTCACAGGGAACACCTCCTGCTTCAGACGAGTCCTGTGACTCCTCGTGGTCTGGTTCCTCTTGAGGTCCTCTGAACTGGGAGACCATCTCAGACATAAAAGTGTTGGTTTTTAGTTGAGGTCTGGAGCTGAAGTCCTCCTTACAGACTGGACACTGGTACTGCTCGCTGTGGTCCCAGTGCTGATAGATGCAGGTTTTGCAGAAGCTGTGTCCACAGGAAGTGGAGACAGGGTCAGTGAAGACCTCCAGACAGATGGAGCACAGGAGCTGGTCTTCAGACAGAACACAGCTGACAGACGCCATTTCTGTGACACAACAGAGAGAGACGTCCTGTGTTTTAATGAATGAATGATTTAATTAATTAATTAATCAATGTATTTATATAGCACCTTTAAAGATACCCAAAGAGCTTTACAGTTCATTATCCAGTCACTCCACACTCAGTGGTGGTAAACTACTACTGTAGCCACAGCTGCCCTGGAGCAGACTGATGGAAGCGAGGCTGCCAATCTGCCCCATCGGCCCCTCGACCACCACCATCACTCATGCACACTCCACTCTCATACTAGGCAATGTGGGTGAAGTGTCTTGCCTAAGGACACAACGACAGTTTTGCCACTGGCGCCTCCACTGTGGCACCTTTAATTCCCAGTGTCTCCCATCCAAGTACGAACCAGGCCTGGACTTGTTTAGTTTCTGAGATCTGACGGGATCAGGCTTTGACAAGCCGATATGGCCACATTTTAGAGCCAATGGCCTTTGTAGGTGTATTTGTGCAGTAATAGTAACAGTATGTGGAGTGACAGTAGTAATAGTAGAAGCAGCTGTGGAACACCACAGAGAAACATTTACAGTTAGTGGCAGGAGCAGGATTTACAGCAGTCGACAAGAAACAGCTTCATTGTGGGAGGCTAAAGCTAAACCCAGAGACAGAAGTTTTCTACAGACATTTTAGTTATAGAAGTTAAACAAACAGTTAACTTTGACAGATAATTCAGAGTAACATTTAAACATGTTTCACTTGTACTCACTGAATGTGTGAATCTGTTTTCCAAGCTCAGAAGACGTCAGGTGAACTCTGTGTAGATCAGAGACTGTCGACAGGCAGCTGCTCTCTAAGTTTCACTTTCATTTCTCTTGTGTAACACTGAGGTGAAGCTCCTCCCCATTCCCTGGTTAGACTCCACTCCACACACCACATCAACACAGTGATGTGTGTAGAAGAAGACTCTGTTATAGTGGGGAAACATATGACTGAAATCAATACAGTCCACAAAAGAATGACCAGGGAAACATTTGGTAAACAGTGAAGTCGACCACAGAGAAACAAGTTGGACTCAAAGTCTTAAAGTTACAGCAAATGTGTTCAGACAAAACACACAGTAGTAGTAGTAGTAGTAGTAGTAGTAGTAGTAGTAGTAGTAGTAGTAGTAGTAGTAGTACTGTAGTAGTAGTAGTAGTAGTAGTTTAGTAGTAGTAGTAGGCTATAGTAGTAGTAGTAGTAGTAGTTAGTAGTAGTAGTAGTAGTAGTAGTAGTAGTAGTAGTAGTAGTAGTAGTAGTAGTAGTAGTAGTAGTAGTAGTAGTAGTAGTA